TAATGTCTTAGAAAAAAATTTAAATATCATAATTATTATATAATATACCCATCACTAATAATGTAATTATAAATTATAAATTATAAACATTAATTAATGTCTGCATTATCTGAATTAACAATATTAGGCATATATTAGGTAAGTAAAACAACACTATAAAAAAATTATTTGAAAAATTCAAGAAATTAACAAATTTTAACAGTCAATTTATCTAAAAAATATATTTTGGTAAATTCATTATCAGCTCTAGGTATTTTCCTAAATTTCAAGATTAAATGTAAATTATTGTCCATGAAGTATTTTTAGCAAATAGTGTGGACTGAAAATCATTACACTTACATTGGATTTATATTCTTTGTTCTCTAAATTAACAATAATGGTCTTTGAAACGGGTGTTGAAAAGTCGGATAGCACCTATTACAATTTATTACTACTGACCAATCGAAAAATGTCAAATACTGTGGAACCGAGCTAAAATCCTGTCAGGGAACGATTATTGTGTTGTCGAATAAAATAGAAATTGGCTCATTTTACTTTTTAATTTGTTTAAAACTGAACTAGTTACAATAAAATATAATCATATTATTACCAACGTGATTGTAATATTCTGTAGTTCACGAACTGGAATAACTCACCGTGTTTATCGCTGGTCGTTTATAACAATTTGTTTTACTAGTAAACTAACATTTACAATACACAACACCTGCGAGTTTAAAATCCAACCGTACATACATCAGGGTCATGAATAAAAAAACCTTCCACCAAAATTGCCCATGACAACCCCTCATACCACCAGTTTCTTACACTAAACTACTAAAATATATTATATACCTTTATGTATACATCACGTGTGTTAATGACCTAATCTGGGATTGAGTAATCCGACACAGTCACCTCCCCCCCACTCATCGTCCCACAGTTCGCAATTGTGGAAGCAATCTGCACCGACACCTATAAAAGGGGATAAGGGCTGCCTACAGTACGTGCAGCTGACGGGTTCCCGGCACACTTATAGGATATAACATGGCACTCGAAATGTATTACCTATTGTAAAATTATATATTATTAGGTACCATTATTATTATTTCTTAACCTATAATTCCGATATTTTAGGTAATTTGAACAATTATTATAGTTTGGTCCATCGGATCCTCACACGGCGTCCATAAAATAAGTTTACATAGACCCAGAAAATTCATAAAAAAAAAAAAAAACAATTAGCGTCCAAAACAGGACAACGTACAGTTGGATTACTTTTATACCAGCACAAAATCGTCATGCCAATGTAATATATTATATAATGTACGCGGCGTCGTCGACATTGTACCAAACAGTGATTATCTTCCGGATGTTTTTCGTCTCATTTGCTTTCCGTTACACGTTAGTGAGGTTCAGTTTTATCAAAGGTTATCCTATGTGGCGTACAAAGAGACCAGGTTTTCTTGTTACTTGAGAGTGTCATGTATTCTTTATTCGACAGGTTTCATTGTAATTATAAAGTTTGCGGAAATGCATTAAATAAAATCGATATTACGATAAATTTAAAGTTTCATCCCTAAAAAAAAAAAAAATAAGTCCCTAATGGCTAATAGCCCATACTATATTATATTAAGTATAGATGTGGACGAGAGCCAAACATTTTTATTATCATAAATATTTGGTACGGAACATCTGTGATTAAAATATAATTTAATGTGACTGGTTGTTTGATTAAAAAGTGATTATTTGATAAATTAATAAATTGTTCGTGTATTACCTCAAAGTCGTAAAAGTTCAACAGACATCTTTGATTGTGCGTCCGCCTACAGCTTGAGTAAATTAATCGAACAATATATTATTATTAAGAAAATGAGCCTTATCATGATAGATTATTGGTTATATATTTTTATTTCAAAACTTATTATGACATTTTATTTTTATTTTAAATTGCAGGTATAATATGATATTTTATTGCATAAAACTTATTGGTTACTACGTCCTACTGTCATTTTATAAACATTTTACTTAATTTATTTTATTATTATTATTATTATTCAATTGAAAACAATTATAGAGAATATTTTCAAATATTTATCAACAATATATGGACATATTGTTAGTTACTCTAATTCATGGGTTTACAAACATGCTATTATCTACAGATATTTTTTTTATTCATCAACAACGTAGGTATATAAACCGTTTTACGAGGAAGTGGTAAACATAATATTATATTATATGTTCTTGCATACACATATAATATATAAACACATAGATTCGACGGAAATAGAGATAAAGTGTTATTATTATTATTCTTTTTAACGACACATTGTTTAAGAATTGAACGATTAAATCGCGGTACTTAGTGTGACAAAACATAAGCTTAACTGTTGAAACTGTGTACGTATAAAAAAATATTAGGTCGCTTTTTATGTGTTTTATTTTACTTCGGATTTGTGTGAGGGTTAGGTGTATAATGTACATGACAATAACCGTTTTGTGAATGGGTTGTTCTTGGCAACGACCCAACGAACGACCATCGGTTAAGATGTTCACTGTGGCACGACAAAACTGGGATGTTTGATAATAATATACTATTCCTCACGCGCGTTGCATGTCACACAGCAGAATATGAGCATGGAACATATATATTTTAGTATTTTACAGACTATTTTTCAAGAATTCCTCATGCGATTACTATGTATGATCTTTTATATTCGTAGGTATAATATTAGGTAGGTACGATCGCAAATATAACTATATTCAAAACAGTATTATATACTAAGCCGTAACGGGTTTTTAAACTCGTTTCCCTGAGTAATACGAGTAGGTACATCCAATGACAATTTATTATCAGAAATTATTTCGACACTTGGTGAATTTTACTTGTTACTTATAATCAGAAGCATACTACCGGCACTGCATTAAAGTTATCATCGAACGTAAATTCATCATCTACCTTAAATATTAATACTTAATTATTGTTATTTTTTTCTGTACAAACAAAAAAAATATTTCACGTGCATAAAGGTATACGTTTACATTATCTACTGTGCTTAAAATATTGACCACTGTGCGCACTAAGGTTAGTACCCTGTTTTAACCCCATCAGTTGATTATTTTACGGGATATTATCGTAGTCTCAAAGAAAGGCGGCAATACACAACGGTAAAGGACACAGTACGGTAGTAGAGAAAATAAAATAGCAGGTAGTGTAGTGTAAAACAATGTGTGATAGGTAATAAAATGGACTCTGTAGAAGTAAAGAAAACCCTATGGGTACCTATAAGTAATAATGTAGGGATGGAAGGGCACTTATATTATACTACTATTGCTTACATTAACAATATCCCAAAGAGCTTAATATCGATATAGTAATAACGATACAATGATACAAATGTGGTGGTGCGGATAAAAACCTTTCGAAAGATGGGCACCAGTTGACAACACTGCGCAAGTGTCGTTATAATAATAGCATCGCTTCGTTAAGTCGTGTCCTATGTGAACCAGGCAAGTGCGTAAGAATTCTGTTCCAACCATAGACCTATAAACTAATGGACAGCGCTTAGAGAGAGAAGTCAGGGGCACGATATAGAGTGAGCGAGAAAAAGAAACAAAGTAGTAAAATGTAAACAGTTCCTTTTGTGGGCTCCTTCACTACTTTATGTTCTTTCTCGCTCAGTTATATGGTTATATGATCCCCTAGCATTGATGGCAGGCAGAATGGAATGGGCTGTCCATTAGTTTATAGGTCTATGGTTCCAACCATGCTTTACAACCCTTAAATGATTGATGCGGTGGTGAAATATGCAAGCTGTCTTGTTTTCCGCCCCACTCATTGCCACGTGGAAAAACAACAAATGACGGGTCGCTTCTGTTGTTGTCTTGCACGTAATGGCAGAAACCAACTTAACTACTACCTTGTTAACCAGTGCAGATTAGTACCGAGCATACTTACCGAGTTAGAAGACCAAGGCTTCCAACTTATGAATTCGTCATCTGGTTAAAATATTGTATCATGGCTAAACCAAAGACTCACAGTACACACATTGCTTGCGATATTTTGAATATAACTTTAACGGGTAAGTGAATTGAAAAGGTAGAGTAGGTCAGAGGTGGTGGAAGTTTGTCCATCGTCTCTTGGGTCCTCGGCCAAGGTTAGTATATATTATTACAGTATTCGATTTGAATGATCGCATTCGATAAAAAACGATTCTGAGCGGACGAAAGAAAAATTATGAACCATAAATATGTATTAATAAGTAACCATTAGTTTTAAATAATATACTTAGTAAGAATTAGGTGATTTAAAAATTGTATTCGTTTCTATGGTGATGAACAAAGGGTTAGAAAAACAATAGGTAAAAAAAATAAATTTTGATGGTTTTTCCCGTGGCGTTAAGAAACTATGATAAAATCGAAAAATAACCTATCTAAAGTACCATATTGATCCAATTTTCTAAAATATAAGATACAACTGTATATGTTGAAATTGAAGCACTCATTCTGGTAGACATTTTGTTTACAGAGTAAAAAAAAAAATAAACATCATTGTAAAACCATTAGTTTCCTCGTTCCGCTCAGAATCTTAAATATATATAATAAATAATATAACTTTAAAAACTACGATATTTAGTAGAAAGGAAAACGAATTGAATATTGTTGAGGAGCAGGGGTATAAATCCAACGTAGGAAAAGGGTTGGATCAACTGTTATTGTTACTCAGAAATCCGGAATTTGACAAGCTAAATACAAGTCACGTGAATTATCCACTACGATTACGACTAGGAGTTACACGAACTGCAACATTCTTTCCTGGGTGAACTTTTATTATATTCTTAAACTTTCATTTTACTAGTAAATGGTTCGGAGGTTCTATGACAACAAGGTCATCAACCGCGAGATTAGTAGTAAATTTATTTAATTGTATTGTGCCTTGCAACACATGAGGATATTCTGTGGACCATTGTTTCCAAAAAGATTGGTGACATTGGCGAAGAACTTGACATCGATTAAGGCGATTAGTATCTGTATCCAACATGTAATCTCTTCAGCAAGCACATATTAATTATTATGTGATGGCTTGTTAAAAAATTATCAAGAGTGAGTGCGCAGAGATAACGGCGGTTTGATGATAATAAAATCAAAAATCTGGAATTGAGTATTCCTTCTATGTGTGTGACCAAGGTGTGGATCTTTTCTAAGGTGCGAATTTGGGTTCCTATTACGTGCTTGAGACGATTCTTATTAGCACTTTTTATAGCCACTCCCCAAATGTGCAGAGGCGTGAGGATTTCAGTTGATCGTTTCTTGGCACGATGAACGAAACGATTGCAGTATGCCAATGACCAAATTACCTTGTTCAAAATTGAAAATCGGTGCAAAATGTCTTTCTGATCTGAGGATTTATCAACTGAATGTGATCGTTTAATAGTAGGTCTCACTTTCAGTAATTTATACACTGGTATTAGTGAAAAATCTGACATTGACTATCTTCTGGCTATCAAAAAAAATCTGGCCCTTTCCAATGTAACTTTAAGGTCAACATAGGTTTGGGTAATAAACCACGAGAAGATCCGTGGTTAGACTAAATACATTTTACAGCTCAGAATATATGAATGGATTTATGTGATCCTATTTGGAACATATCTTTTTGTTTAGATGTATGTCAGGACTCAAGACAAAAAAACTGATTAGTATGACTAGACATAGTTTTGAATGATGGAAATCTTGGGCTATAGTTCGGTAGTTAAATGTCTGAATAAATTAACAAGTAGTAATATTGCACAAAATTTAGGGCACAGAACAGAAAAAGATCAATTTACAGCAATAAACGGAATTAGGGGAAAGTTGGGGCAAAACGGGGACATTTTGATATTTATATCTTATACTAGTCATACTGATTTAAAACTAATATATAAAATCCTTGGGCTAACAATTGTATGTAATAAAAATACTACTATGTTTAAAGTGTTGAAAAAAGCTTACGGGAACCTTTATAATTTACAAAATATCGTAAATCTATGTATTTTATTTATAGAGTTCTGGAACGAAAATAAAAGTGGATTCTAAAGGAAATTTGTCTCATAAATCATAATAATGCATACGTATACAAAATACACATATTATTATAGTTGGTTATGTTCAAAAAATAATTATATACGCTTGAATATTGAATTTTAGCTCAAAATAGCTAAAATATTTTCCTTAGTGTATCAATAAATGATTTTTAAGAATTATTCTTATGTCTGTATAGTTAAATTTTTAACGAAAAATGCAAAGTATGTAATATAATTTTTCAGAAATCAGTTTAAATCTTAATAAATAATTAATATTTTTTTCAAAAGTTTCAATAAAGTTGTATGTCTCACATAAAAATGGTTAAATACAAGAACATTTTAATTTAAGTTATATTATATTTTTAAAAAAAATCAGAGAACTCACTAGCCTGTATAAGAGGTTTTGAGTTATATGACCAATATCTATCGTTTTCGATGTTCAAAAATGTATCAAATAACATTTAATTAGTTAATTTTATTAAATTTTTAAAACTTAGTCTTTAGGTTTTAAAACTGAAAATTGTATGAACTACATGATTTGCAAACAACAGTGATTTTACGAATTTCATCAACATAAGAAATTTAAATGTTTAAATAAAATTACAACTCTAAACAAAAATTAAAATCTTTATATGTAATATATTAGGTTCATAAAATTAAAATTGTATGAAAAATCATTTATTTAGATGTTCAGTATAACCATCCAATTGGATAGAACTTTTAATTTCCATAAGATCTTTGTTAAAACAAATACTCTTACATTTGAAGTGGGCTGAAAAGTGAAAATTATTTTAAAAACATTTTTCGTTAAAAAAACTAATTAAAAACAAATTTATACTCATAAATTTACATTATTTTAGCTATTTTTATTTCAACGTAAGAACTTTGTTCTAAAATAATCTGTTTTAAGTGGTCTGAATAACAAAATCCCTGACAAAATTAGTATTAAATAATGGTACCTACCAACTTGATTATATTTTTATTAATTAAGTGTATAATATGTATGCTTGACAATGCTGTTTCGTGTGTATGTGTGAGCCAAGGAAAGAAGGCTAGTTGGACATAGAACCACAATACGCATTTATCACCCCTGTACTTGATGATTATAACAATTAATTACATTTTTCATTGTCATAATATAATTTTTTATAATCTATGCAATCTCTAAAACGTATAATAACTTTAATTTAGTTTTATCAATTAAACCCGAACAACTGCAACCACAGCTGGTGTAAACTAATCATATTGTGGAACTATTAATATTTGTTATTAAACGTGTAAATTATTGATTAAAGCCGGGCTTCCACAATACCGTGTCGTGTCCGTGTTCTTTATGTATGATAAATAATAAGTAGGGAACAACATGTTAGTAACACGTTGCCTACTAACACAAGCTGAATATTATAATATTCAACCTCACATGAAACGGTATAATTATTAGTATAAACCAAGCTTAATATAATCTAATAATATCTTAATGAATTCTTAACCATTACTCATTAACACTAATTTTTATTTTTATTTCATCTAACTATAACTAGCTCTATTCGTTTATCGAGATCACCGTCGACTATACTATACTTGGTTTTAATTCTAGAAATAAACATAATTGGTGTCATGTTATTTTTTTAAGGCCTAAACTATTTTAGAGTGCAATCAAAAGCAGATTGCATTCAAGTGGATTAATGACTGCTTATAGACCGATCAATGTGTAGGATTGTTACGCTTTTTATGTGTTTCATAATGTTCTATATAAATTCATCTGCAGAAATTCATCATAATAATGACGAGTACATTAGTTCCATTAGCATTTTTTTTTTCACTTTTTATAATAATTTATACATGTACAGAGAGAAAATAGCATAAAACGTTTTCATTCAATTCTATACACTTAAGCGATGTAGGTAGCGATGTAGTGTTCGTCGTGGTTGTATGTCCTATATTGTCAGTAAATTACTATTTACGAATATAACTCACAGACGTCAAAGACATACTATTTAGTATGATATATTTAAATGTATCCATTATGTACTTGAAATAAATTCAAATACAACTATTTGAACATAAATATATTTTGTGTTTTGATAAATTAAATTAATTTAAAATATTATACTGAAGTACAAAATATAGAAATAATGTTTTTAAAATGTTACCAAACATTTTTTCTATAGATAATGAATCTACTTAAAATATAATGTAATATGGAAAGTTTCTTACAAAGAAACATTATAATTGAATTGGAAAATATCAGATTGTTTACAATTTTAAAACATGTTTCATTGAATATATATTTTATACTAGTATGCTCAATACAACTTACACAAAATTGAATTTCCAGTACCTTTATTACATTTAAAAATCATTGGAAAATATTTTATGGAAAGTGTGAGCCATACAACATTAAATATGTCTAAAGGTTAGGTTTGAATATCTAAACAAATATTATAATATTATGTTATATTATCATAATATAATATGTCTATGCTATCATAATATATCGTAGAGAGTCGAGACAGGTGTTGTTTTAATTAGTCATTGGACAATGCGTGTGTGGTACCTGGTAAATAATAATGGGATTTTTGAATAATATATGAAAGTTATTTAAATTGTCATGGCTACCGTACATTATTATAGCTCTAGAAAATAATCACAACAATGCATATACATATTCATTGAACATAATTCTTGACCTAGTTTTTTGACATTGACTTTTGTCATTCGTGTCAATTTCAAAGATTCAAGTTTATTTTTTAGCTTGTTAATTTGATAGAATAATAACATAATGCGGAAATAGAATAGTATAATATCTACAAACACAAAGATAAGGTTAATAACAAGAAAACAATTTTTTTAGGATTTTATGAAAAATGAACGATTGATAAAATTATTTCTACTACGTTCTTTTCGGTTTACTTTCATGAATAATAATATAAAATAAAATCAATTACACGGCGCTTAGGCAATCAAAATTTTATTATAGTGTTTTTTTTTTTAAAAACTATTTTATCAATAAGTTATTTTATAACGAATGTAATAAGTACATTAATTAATATGTACAAATTATCCATACCTTTTACTTATACAGAAAGTAAATTATAAAAATAAGTTTTTAAATGAATCCATGCAATTTTGAGAATTCACTAGAATACTAAAGCTATATTCTGGATAAAAACACAATAGATGGGTAGGTGTAAAGTGTATAATTAAATTATTTTAACACAATAATTATTACAGGACATTATGCAAATACCATTCATAACAATACAAAAAGAAATAGCTAACGTAATTAGAGTCTATAGTATGAATATAAAATAATCCAAGACTTAACTTTTCTAAGTAAATTTTTATTTTGTAAGATGTTTAACACATCGGCATTATTGTTGCATACCTATAACATAATATTTAGTTTTGGTGGTTTTACATTAAATATATTATAGGCTTATTAGTTTCATCATTATACATTTTTAAGAACAATTTACAAATATTACTTAAACGTTATAATATTATTGTGTAAAACAATAATTTAATGAACATTATGAGGAAAATATTCTCAATTATGACGAAGATGTATTATCTTTTATGCGCTGGATTTACATGACTTTTCAATGATTGTTTTTTCGATAAGCTGCTTTAAGATTAAGTAAATAATATGTAGGTCTATCTAAAGTAAACTGATAAAAAATATTTGTTTATTTTTAGGTTGTAGCCAAGTACGGGAAGTGGGCATGACGAAGCTGTTTTGAAATGAAGGGCTCCAGTATCAATAGATCTCAAGTACCGTTACTGTCGCCCATCGAATACGACAGCATCGAAGTAAGTGTTTAAAAGCAACCATAATATCAAAATATATGATTAAATAAAATCAAATACGGAATAGTTTTAAAAATATTCGTACCCATCTCAAATACTCGAGTATTCCTTTAAATTGCGCGGGCTGCAAATAATATCACGCTCACGCCCGAAAACCAATATACCATACGTATACCTAATCTATAGGTTGTGTGTGTGTGTGTGTGTGTGTGTGTGTGTGTGTGTGTGTGTGTGTGAGCAGTGGTCGGGAACATCGGCAAATACTGATGAGCTAACTGTGCATATATTTTGAACATCGTGTTGTGTACACTGTGTGCTTATCAATTATAAATAATTGTAGCAGTAAAATGTTCATAATATTATTGCTTGTACTGCTGGTTCAAAAATAAATATACATACGATCTATATATTACGACGCACAAATAATTACTAAACGGAATAATTAAAATTCTGTTATTTCGAAAAAAATTACCCAGGGAATCTCTATTTGAAAATTTTACTATTGTCAGGTAATTATAAAATTCTGATTTTTCAAAACATACCAATACAAATTAATATACAATTAAACTGCATAACTATAGTGATAATAACAATAATAATAATAATAATGATAAAAAAATCGACATTCAACAGTCGTATTAAATATTATGATATTAATATCAAAGGGAATTCGGTCGGTGAGCAGGGGGGGGGGGTGGGCTGACGTCAATGACGACATACAGAAACGGCATTGGCAGAGACGACTACGTCAAAGGAGACGGCGAAATAAGCGTACTACGTACAGGGAGTCGTCGTGCGTGAACGTAGACATGACGTGGACGTGAAAGGCGTCATCGGAAACGCTTTTGCTAACGCACGTGAACTATACTCGTAAAAGGCTTGCCGCGCGTGATTAAAAAACACGACAGGGGCGTGAACGGCATCGACGTGGAACGGTATAAGACAAGGGCTGCAAACGATCTGTGTCCCTATCTGTTTTTCGTTTTCGTTTTTTTTTTTCAGTTTAGGTACACGAGTTGTGTCCGGTGGAATGTTTTTCTGTGTTAGGTCCCCGCGATACTATACGCACGAGCTGTTAGATTTTTGCGAGATAGGTGCACCCCCGCAGTCGTGTCCTGACGAAAAAAAAAAACGTAAGTCTAAGCACAAGTTTTTCCGTGCTCGTAAATATTCGAATCGACAAATTTGTTCGTTACAATATTGTACATAGGATCGCCATTTATTTACATACATTTACTTGTACATATTTCTTTATTTTGTATGAGAATAAAATATAATGTTGTATTGCGATATATTTTATTACCATTATGAATTAATAAGGGTCCCGGTGCCACTTTTTCAAATTTTCCACAATTCTATAAAATTTGAAAATTAAATTTTATATTTTAGTTGCCACCTCGTTTATAAGACTTTTCAACTACTCTACTACCCTATACCTATTTAGGGGAGGGGAGTTGATAGGGTGTATTATATCGAAAAAAATGAATTTAAGGGAATAACTCTCAAGCTTTGTAGAGCTGTCGGATTTTGATGACTATTTTTTTATCTGAAAGAAGAAGACTTCCTACAGCCCGAATCGTTCTCTGATTTTGTATTTTATTTAAAATAATTGTATTAAAAAAATTGTAAAAAAAATGACTTTTATCTTGTATTTTTTTAGACTTATTATAAAGTTTGAGAATAAAATGTTGAAAAACAGAGATCGATGCGGTGTGTAGAATATTTCCCTCTAGCAATTAAAAAAAAAAAACTATGAAATCTGGTTGATTCTACAAGGAGGTATCGTTAATCCCCCAGACTATAGTTTTGAGGACAAAATGGCATCGGCACCGGGTGCCTTAAAAACAATTATTATCAGTAATAATTAGGCACATTAGGCTTTGAATAAAAGCAGTTTTCATACATTCAAAGAGATTATAAAATACTATATACATAATATATTTTATACAAGATAAATTACGTTGTTCATCAAATCTATGTAAAATATATTATATAATAAGTATAATTAATAGAAAATAAAAAGTAAAAATAATGATTGTGTTAGGAAAAAATATGTAAATGAAACTTTTTAAAAAAACCATATTTTCTAAATAGCTGATACAAAAAAGCCAAACAACACTACATAATAATCGAAATACGCAATCCGTGGTTGCAGTTTTTCCGTACTAAATGTAAACAAATAATCATATAAAATCCTTTGACTGTCCAGACAACAGATCGCGGTACAACCACCTGTATCCATATCTAGTTCAGGGGTGGGCATTCTGCGGCCTGTTGGCCACAGAAACCAACATTTTAGGTTTAAAAAAAACTAATGATGCAAAATTGTATGTACAATTTATACCTTTTTTACCCACCTCACATTTTTTTTATTTTTACTACTATTTTGACCTCCGTTTAAAAAGTTTACTCGTCCCTACACTAGTTTATAGCAGTGATGTTGGATCGGTGCATCTATTATTGTATTTCGGTAAATTGGCAAAGCTCTATATAATTATATCATTAATTGAATCTGGTCGAAACAATAATATTATTAGTTATAATATATAAACGGCCTTTTTATTCTAAAACAAAAGTATAAATAAATAATAATATATATCATACTATAACAATACGTTGCGATAAGTTGACTATAATAAATTAAAAAATTAAATAAAATAACAAAAATAAGAGTAGGAATTAATTGAAACTAATAGTCACTCAAGGAGAATAGATTATTTATCTTCTCAAACTAACGCCACTGTCATTATTAGAACCATTGAAAATATAATTTTATTTAATAAATAAAATAATTCTTTTTAACTCTTTAATAATTCACTTACAAAGAACAAAACAATTATATAAATATAGAACAAAATATATATTACTCACAACAGAACGCGAAACGCAGACTAACCAGTCTCTATTAAATCATAAACCTAATTAAAAAATAAAACAACTAGCACTCATACACACGAACAATATTGATAAATTAGGAAAAAAAATAAATAATATTGAAAAATAATCATTTTCACATGTAATAATAATTGTGGCGATTTTTGTAAGCGTAAAAATGAATAATAACACTTTTGAGTTATTCTTAATGGTTATTAGTATGGTTTATTTAATAGATAATAATATTATATTATAATTGTAGGTACAGTGTAATTTCAATATAATGATATTTAACGAAATTTACTTACCTTTATTATAATATTATTTATGAGAACTATAAATTAGAACCAACTGTATGTAATTTGATTTAACAAGTTCCTCTAAACTATGAACCTTTCTTGTTTCACTGTTTTACTTATATTACTGCAATTTATTATTTATAATAACCCACATTTAATTGTAATTTTTAAAATAATAAAATTATCTGACCTTGGTAGAAGACAAAGATTCACATCGGTGGTGGAAGGAATATAAAGACAATAGTATTATTAGTATTATTGGCTTTTTCTGACCGATATTTCAGTTAACCCATCATCAATTATATTTTACGTTTATGTGGGTGTGTCTGTTGATTATGGACAAAAATAGTCTTTTAACCATTATGAAACGTGGGGGTCGGAGGCAATCACAAAAAAAAAAGCGATCACCTTATAGTGACTGCAGTCACATGGAATAGCACGAGAGCAATTAATATCTTCAGTCTTGTGACTTTGAATTTATTACCAATTGACGGTCACAACAAATATATCAGAGACTATCAAAACTTTTCATTATTCATTGGGTAAAAACTTTTGGTTCCCGAGAGAGTGACCAAGGGGAAATCACGATATTGTCCCAGCTAAATACGAATCACAGCTGCCTTAAGTCTTTTTTTTTTTCTCAACACTAGAGAGACAATTTCATTTTCCGTTTTAACCCACCGAGGGAATGCGGTTTTTGACCTATCCTTTACATATTCTTTGCTATTTCGCGAAATATGGTAGACATTTTTTCAAGATAGTCAACCTCTCAAAAATATTGTCGTTTTCATAAATAAATGATTAGAAACAGGATATTCCATGGTCATTTCTAGATGATATGTGCGTATAATTTCTAAACCAAACCCGAGTCACTAAAAAATTATATTTTATTGTAATAAACATTTTATTTTTTTTATATTCGTATGGAATAATTATAATTCGTTGTGCCTAATCAAAACTAATATTTAGCCTTCATAATAGGAAAAAAATAGTTTACCGGAGAGTGTGCAGATAGAAGCTTAAAACGAACCCCTATATAGTTTAAAAGTAATTCTATACCCCCTAGGAAAAAGTTTAATAGCAATTTTTTTATAGCATATCAACAAATATGGCATTTGTAGATTAGTATTTGGAACATTTTATACACCACACAATGGTTAAAACTGAATATTATATTAAATTGTAGAAGTTTCTATATAATATTACATATAGTTTTAATCAATATACAATGTAGGTACTTTAATTGAGATCAAACTTCTAAATAACAATTCAAACTACGTATTCTCCACAAAAGATAAGTTACTAATGCATTTTTATATTACCCGTGCACTTCTGATTAAATAGCAACGATCTATATTTGTTTACGTAGGTTACTGTTATTTAAAGAGTGTTGTTCAGTGGCGTACTTATATATATTTGTTTTGTGGTGTATGGCGGGGGGGGGGGGTAAATCTAGAACTTAAGTGACCATTACAACCAACGAAAATAGGTATTTTAAAAATAATCCAAAGTCAAAAAAGTTTCCTCTACCGATATTATGCCATCGATGTTGTTTTTTATTGAGTTGTGAATGCTTATATGTGAATATAACCTTTAGCCGTTAACATTCAATTGTCGAGAAAATCAAACAGAAAATATAACCATACAGCTTCAATGAAGGTCATGGTATTACTGGTGGCACCAAAAAACTTTGAAGTTACCTAGTTGTAGCTATCATAAACATATTAATGTGATTATAAAATACTGTTAAATTTTGGTTGAATATAGCATATTTTCATTTTAATTATAAATGTTTGAATAACTATTATTCATGAGTAATATAAAAAAAAATAAGTAATTTAAAACTAACTAATTATTATAATAATTATAACTTTAATTATATTTTCTTCTTAGTTACGATTTTTATTGATTATGCCTTACATAATATTGTACTTATACACCTCACCATTGTATTGTGTTATTTTGTATTTGTTAACAGAATAATATTAATATTAAAATGCTTACTAGAAACCGGAAAAATGAAACACGACAATGGGGTAGATAAATTGCCTAGCTAAAACGCCGTGTAATCATAAAGACATACAAAATAATAAAAAAATATAATGGTATAATACAAAAATGTATGGAACAAAGTAGTATAATATTAATATGTGTTTAATTTTCTATTTTAGCTTTAAGTGTATTCTTGATAGCATATTTTTCCGTGGTGGTCTGTCTATTGGCATTTAACTTTAAAGGTTATAAATAAATTTCTAAACACTAAATTGCTTTTGAATAATTTACTTATTTTTACAATAATATTATGATTTTAAAATATTAACTCTTAGTCAGTTGTATCTTTCTGATTGTTCAATCAGACAGCTAGTTACGTCAAAATTATATATACAGTATTATATATACAGTATGTTATTGATTGAGATTAAATAATAATTTCTTACCTACATAATTAATTCATTGACATTTGAAATATGTATTTGTTTTAAAACGTACAAGTAATCAACTCTAGAATAGACTATTTTGTATTCCATTTAAATTTTAATCTTCGCAGAAATTGTTAAGATCATCGGAACTCAATTTGTCAAATAAATTTATAAACCTTTATTTTTCATTAAAATATTCCCTTCTTGATTTATTGTATACAACTCAATAATATAACTAATCAAATATTGTTTAGTCACTGGTACTTACTGTACAATACAATATTATGTAATATAGGGTTTTGTTAACATTAGATATTATTATTTTGTGTGTCAGTGTAAAATAAGTATAATAAATTTGGCATATTGTTATTTATTATAAAATATTTGTTGTGCTCTTCAGATGATCATTATTGTCAATACCTATGAATTAATTATTATATAATATATACTAGCTAATCCCATGCACTTCGTTGCGCTTAAAAAATGACAACTCTTTAAAAAATTGTGATTGTTCAAATCCTTTTGGATGTAACTCTCAACAGTAAGTTAAATTCAGCACCCTGGCTATCCGACTACATCGGATATCGGACAATTATGTAGGTATATGCAATAGAAAAACCACCTGCGGTAGATTGTGGACACTGCCGGTGATCGGCTATAAGTGGCAACATATTGGTATTGGTAGGAAATATGTGACAATCCGATTTGATGAATACTTGAGTAACCAATATACAAATAAAATACTAATACCATTAATAATTATTAATAATAATAATAATAATAATAATAATAAGTTAGTTAATTAGTTTAACTAACGATTAACTAATGGAAACCAATAATATTATTATTATAGCTTTAAAACCCATAGCAACCATTTATAAACAAAAATTTCCACCGTAAATGTCAAAATCCCCGTCAGAGCACCTTCCCGGGTTGGACCTAGGGGTATGAAAAATAGTTTACTTCACTCTCTCAGACCTACTGAATATACACACGAAATTTCATGAAAATCGATCAAGCCGTTTCGGAGAAGTTTGGTGACATAAATTTTCCATATTGTGACCATATATTATATTAGATTAATATTTTGGTGCATGATATATTAATATGCTTAGTCAATAGTTATTGATTTACTTATTAGCTAGTGCACCCATCGGTAATAAATCTGGAGTGTTTGCAATAGAAACTTATATTGTACGAGCAATTTTTACAACATAATCCTAATAAAAATAAAAATGAGTCCTAAACTTTTCGCGTCTGGGTGTGCAAAAGTCAAAACGACAGAGTCCATAATTGTATATAATAAATCGTAATTCATTGGTATTCCGAATGATAGTACACAGCGTTTTGTAAGCTAAATAATATTACGAATGGAGGTCTGGTGGTTGGCTGAAGTCGATAATGCGTGCTGTGGTCAAGCATCGTTCGGCATCGCTAGCTCTCGGATGGGTGACCACACGAGTTTGTGGTGACGAAACCGATGCAAACGTGTTGCTCAAAACAACCCTTCCAACACACCTCAAACTTACCAGTAGCCCCCACAACATGATAATGGCCATTGTTACCGATGCATCAAAAACAAAAAAAATATTTAAAAGATAATAATATTAAAATTGTATAATACATTATATTTCTTGGCGTATATTTTATAGTGTCCTTGAAATATGTGATAATTTTTTTAGGTAGGTACTGTATCAAATGTTGTATATCCAAATAACTCATATTAACGGATAAAACGAAGTCCATTAAAAGTTAGCTGCTGAGTCAAAAAAGTCTGATTTAAGTATGAAAAATACAAATTCCTTTTTTACATGCATTTATGGTAAGGTTGGTCAACACAATATTAATATAGATCGTAAAAACTGTTTTTTTAAATGATAAAAACGTTTATAATTTTTTTGTTTTATTAAAATGTTGGAAGGTAATTAATAACGGACGTTATTATTATTTTTCTTCCATTAGGTTAAAGTTTCAAATAAATTATAGTTTAAATTTAGTGTTTATATTAATTAACGTTTCAGAGTTTTTTTTTCTTGAAAAATAATATAATGCCTCTAACCAAATCTTAATATACCTCTGTATGAATGAACTTTAATGATGTAGTCTTATTTATTTTCTAATTAATGTTTTTTTTTTCGTTTAATTATATGATTTTAATTTATGAACCATATTGAAAATAAATAAAATATACAATATCAAAGTGAAATATATTGTAAAGAACTATGTCGAGACTCTGTATACTTACAATGTTGTCAATTATTAATATATTATTTAATTGTAATTATTGAATTATAGATAATGTGACTGAAATAAAATATGAAATATAAGTATAGAACTTAAATAACATTATGTTTACATAATATATCAGTCCAAACTACATAATATGGCTTGAAGGTGTGGGGATGACTAGTTTAACCTTATTGAAACTAATTTTTATTTTTTAGATTATAAAATATAATACCTAATATTTTACCAAAATACATTTAAATAAGTAATTTTAAAAGTTATATCAAATATGATATAATATAATGTACAGAAATAGATGTTTGGATATAACCTAAATTTATCAACTTTATTGTGTCAATAAAATTTAGATTGGAAATTTCAACATCAAAAATAATGTCCGATCACGTACCTGAATAAATTGACTTTGGCTCTAAATTAATGATAAATAATACGAATTTACAATGGTGTTGTGTTGCATCAAGTTTCATCTATTTTAGATTTTAAGAGATTGGTTTCCTATTACTCGTGCTTTTAGATATAGGGGGGTGTATGGGAATTACAACGATTTGTTTTTCGTTTTATCTGTGATCATTTTTCGAGCAGTGTTAGTGCACTAAAAGTTTCACGTGACCCAATATTTTGATTGGATATTTTATTTGGTAGATGCTTTAAACGGGTCATTGTGTTTTAAATGTCTTATTAGTTAGTTTCGATAAGTGTAATGAAAAAATATAGGAAAAAAAATGAAACATGGTGAAATTTACAACAAGTGTCTGTTTTTAATAAGCTTATAGATTCTGTTGTCTTCTTTTTATGATTGTTGTATGTATAGATTATAAGCGTAATGCAGTAGTATATGACTATCCAAATAATATTTGAATACATAAATAAATTTAATTTTAATAAATAGTACATATTATTATAAAATTAGAACTTAGATTAACTACTTAAAAGAATCAAAAAATAAATAAATAAATAAAAATAAGGCGATAATAAGAGTCAAGTATTATAATTTAATTCAATTAATTATTGTAGAAATTGTTAATAATTTCGTCAAAAATTCAACAAATATAAAATACAAATGTCTTTACTTTAAAATAATAACCATCTGAATTATGTATCGCATTATCAATATGATTTTTAGACTAAACTCCGTAATCTTTTAAAACATTTTGTTTGAAAAAATAATGAATATACTTGATACATTCATATTTTTTATTTTAATTCAGAACAGAGAAAGGATAGTTTACGTTTTTATGTCTTTTAAAAATCATCTGCTTAGCAATTAACAGTAATAAATCTAAGAAAACGAGAAATTTTTTACACCACAGTACAATCCTTCTCAAATGTTATAGTAAATCTTAACATTTGAAGGACCTTCAGTATACTTCAAAATTCTAAAATAAAAATGTTTTAATATTTAAGGATAAAATAGGAGTGAGGGTACTGGGTGAATTACCCTTATACTCTGATGTTTCCATGGTCTTAATTTTTATATTTTCTCCTTATTTGGACTTTAACGATGATGTAATCTCATGGATCATATATATTTTTGTTCACAGGATGACCATCCACATAATGTGACTTCGGGTTGTGAGGACTTTAATCCCCTCGATGAGAAGAGTTCTGAACAGCTACAAGACGTGTTAGATTCGTCAAAAATTTTTATCCCATTAAGCACTCCACGTTGCAGGTATTTATTAAACACATAAAATAAAATTGTAACATTTATAGTGTTAAGCGCGCCACCATTTGTCTTAACCGTAAATCAAATATTAAAATGCCTGCACAGTGTAGTAAGACATTCATGTTTCTGGTTTTGTATTAATAACAATGAGTAAATACACAGACTTTGTTGTTTGATGCATATAATATAATAATATAATACCATAGGTCTATGCATTTTGATATAAGTGTATGCAATAATATTCCAAATCGTGAAATTAAGATAGGGCTACATTCAGAGTTGGTAGGTATATGTATAATATATTATAGTTTATACTAAACAATGTATATTTTGTAAACACTATAATATGACCTACTAAAATATTCTGTTTACTAATAGCGAAATGCGCACTACGAATAGAGGGAACGGGAAACATAATATTATTATGACACAATACCTAACGCGAGCAATGGTCACGAAAACACTAGAGTGCGTGAGCTTTATGCCTGGGTATTTATCCCCTACAAATTTACCAAAGATCAATGTTAAATGTAATTTCAAGGTTACCTATATCTGTTTTCACATTACCACTTCACCACCCAGACCACATTTTGTAATGATAGTATTATAATAGTATTTTAATAACGTTATACTAATATTATTCGTTAATATAATGTTATAATAATATTATTAAACAAAAAATTGGTTGTCCGGGCACTCTGTTATATTATATTTCCATGCCCTACATCACGAAAATCTTACATAATTATACAATGCCCTTTGGCTTAGTTGGAAGACAGTTTTGTATAAAATAGCTAGTTGAACTGAAAATATTACCTATTGTCAAACAAAAATAATCAATATTTTTTTACTTTTCATGTCTTGTATTATTAATATCATAAAAATCATAAAACAAAGTTTACAACTAAATCTACAATATAATATAATATACAATATAATATTTACATAATATGGTGTTGTTGATTTTGTGTAAGAATAAATTGGGTACAAGTGTAAAAGACGTAATACTTAGATTATTAAATTTGATAACAATTTTATAATAGTTGACAAATAAACATGGTAAATGCTTGATTAAAAGTGAATCTTTTGACAGATTTGTGGCACCAACATCACGCTCGTGTGATTTCCGCTATAGTATATTTGTGAAAGATGATAATAACACAATAAAAAGCATTTTTTTATACCACTTACTTAATTCGAATATTTCAGTAGTTGGTGGGAGGATGGGGGGGCAAAGATTCAAGGATTCGAGGATTTATCCCGACGTGTCCCGAATATTTATGGGTATATTTTTATATACAGTCGGCTGAAATTCCTCAAAAAATAAAATGCTAAGTAGGAGCGTGTCACAGTTGCTTCTTAACTGTGGAAATATGAATTCAAATAATTAATTATCTATTCAAAATAGCTAGTCATTTATTACATATATGTAATATATATATTATGTCACGTTGTATTTTTCATATGTTTCATACTTGCACACTTCACTGGCTATTTTCTATAGCTTATCTCATATTATAATACTGCATCGTAAATATTATTTACCTAATTAAAACATATTATGATAGAAAAGAGATGTTTTGAAGTTATTTAAATTGGAGTCATCAGTAGTATTTTCGAAAATTAGTATATTAGTTTAATTAATTTTATAGTAAGTCCAAACGGTGAATATAAAACCCCATTACAGGATTTAAAAACCTAGTTGTGTGAGTTGATTTGACTCTGCTCACGTTGAATGATGATGTGATGTGGAATTTTAAATAAATAATAATCGACTCGAAAACAATTTGATTAAGATAGAATAGCATCTTAACATTTATCCGATACTGTTTGGCAGTTGTCCTCATTTAAGCGTATAGAAACTACGAACAGATCGTATTGACCTCTTCAAAGTATCTACCGGAGGTATAGACTAGATTTTTGATATTTAAAAAAAAAGGTTTTCGAATAAAATTAAAATAATTATAAAGAAAAAAAGAGGGAAAGTAGGTAACCACTTTGTTATACAGTAAGGGTCGTGTGTAGGCACTTCGTCAGTAAGTCTCTATAATGTATATGTTAAATTTGAATTTAATGATTTATTCATTGTATACAAAAAACGTTTCTGAGCGAAGACCATCTTTCAGCCTATACTAAGTATGTTTTATGATATATTTCTATTTCTATTAAAGTAATTTATTTTACTACTTACGTAATACAGAAAGCTTAATTTATTTTTATTGAAATCATTGCATTTGAAAACGTCATTGTGTGTATAAAAATATATAATAACATACGTTAAAAGTTTCAAGTACCCGCCAATAGAATTTTAAAATTATAACAAAATAACTAAAATCGTTATTCGTCCTTCAACAATCTAATTTCGTTTAAATTTTAACTTAGGCTGTCTCTTAAAAAACTTAACATTATACACTTTTTTTAATAATTTACTTATGAGAAATCTTGTATTAAAATATTTTGACTCAGTGTAAATGTTTTTATTGACATTTATAGTAAAAAAACAAAAAAAAACTGTATAATATGCTTTTAAAGTTGTATGTAGTTCAAAAAGGGGGGGTCAAAAGATTTATACCTAATAGTTTTATCATAATATACGTAGAGTAAATGATTATTTATACAACTGGTGGACATTTCAAGTATCTAAGATTATTATTTTTTAAATTACACCAATAAAACAAAATTAATTTTTTCAAATACTGGTTTTGCTCAAAAACTCGTTTATCTATTTTATTTTGAATAGTACATAGAATTTTTTATATATACCAAATTTATACCTAAAGCCACCCTCAAAGTTAAAAATCAAAGTTTTTTACTGCCCCAAAAGGTTATTAAATCAGAACTAAAACTCACATGATTGTAAAATCAGTACCTCCATTCATTGCTTTGCTCAGAACTAACAATTATACGTGTATTTTCATAACTTTGGCAATAAGCTTAGGAAATCCTCACTTAACTCAAAATGTTAAAAAAAACACATACCTACCTTATCTTGTTTTTACAAATAGAAAATTCCAATCAATCTTACATTAAATACCAAGCAAAAACTTGGAAAAATAAGACATTATTTGCCAGAAACATTATGCTTGTACGGTACATACATTTAATATTTAAATATAAATACTAAATAGTTATCTTATAATAATATAATACGAATACATCCTATGTGTGTAGGATTTAGGTACTAAATTATAAGCGTATGTTTAAATACATAAACAATGCATACATAGTATGATAATATTATATAATAATATTTTCCGAACAATATGATTCAGTAGTTTTTATTTTTGTTATGAGTAGTCTAGAGGCATACAATAAAATATTTTAATTGAATATTTTTTTTTGAATTAATTAAAAAAAAAAAAAAGTTACTAAACGTGTAGCTTTGACAGCTACTGTAATATAAAATAACCTTTACATTTGTATAATGTGTATAAAACAAATTAGATTGATACAATTTGAAAATTAATATTGTATAAACGGTAATAATAGGTACCTATGTTATTATCAATCTCTCGTAGACTAAGTACTTTTTATCTGAAATTTTATAAACTTTTAATTAATAAAGTTCAGCTCATGACTCTTATGAAAATACATATTCATGAATATATTATTTAGTTTGTCATATATTGTGGTACACATTATTAGAATGTTCTAGATGTTTGTGTTTATGCAGTAAACAGCACAGTTTTGAGAATTCGTTAGTAAACTTATTAAATCTTGGAGATAGCAACTAACAAAGAAGAAAATAACATGTCAAAACACAATTTCAATAATTTTTAGTTATTTAAATTATTAAAAAGTACACTGTTCTTTAGATTTAATATTAATATTATTATAATATATTTTTCTTAAATTCCATTGCTTGTAATCACCATCCAAAAAATTATTTAAACTGTATTTTTAATCATAGTTATTTTAATTATTAATTATTTATATACAGTAAACAGCAATTCTTGAGTGTGAAAAGAAAGTATACTACAATATGTTTATATCAAATTATATAGTAAAAAATTGTTAAAATATTTTTATAATATTCTGATGTTATTTTTATTCTTTTTTATCGATAGCTTTTTACAAATTTGGTGGCAATGGCCATTAGTTAGGTACATTAAATTTACATATTATTTTAACGCAAGGTTATACATTATGTTTCAGTATAGGTATTAATAACTAAAAATAAAAATTGTTGTAAATATTATTGTTATTTATTAGAATATCAATACTGACCTCTTAAAACCTATGTTCCCGTAATTCAAGTCCATAAAATATTATTTTCAGATATAAAATAAAAATAACTTAGACAGTTTTATTTTAATTTTTATTGATCCTTGGGCATTGGCGATGTATAAACTTGCATTGTTATAAACTATAATTTTTATTTTTTACATGTTTACACTTGAAATTATATTGTGAACAAAATAACGTAGGTATACCTACCAAACCTATATAATGTAAATTATTTTTAATACAGACTTGATTCATGTTAATATTTCATATTTATTTTTAGTAAATTATAAATTCTTTTAAAAATTCCTACTCAATCGGATGATTGAAAAATCAAAGTACAAAAAAAAAAAACAATATACGGACTATATTAAGCTTTTTAATAAAAATTTTAATTGGAAATCGTGATAAAACACAAATTATAATTATTATAGAAGCTCACTACTATAATACTCAGTCTCAGAATTAAAAATCTGGGACGTACCTCTGCTGTGTAGTATTTTTCACGTGTACTTCATCATTAAGTACGTCACTGTAATGGATGTGTTAAATTTGAATTCAATAATAAATCATTTCATACGAATAACAATTCTGTGTGGAGCCGACGTGTCAGACTTTATTTCGAAGAATATTAATTTATAATTAAATTATTAGTTATTTATTTTTCTATTATTAATACTGTATGTTCAACTTCTTTTACGATATATATCAACTTATATTTTGTCAACATACCGAGGTACCATTGAACGGTTTGACGGTTTGGTTATAAAATATAATGTAATCACATTAAAACATAAATAAAATCACTACCTAAATCTTAGACTTTATCAATTACGTTTCCTATTAAAATCCAAACTATTAATTCAAAATAAAAATGGAAAAAGTATGTAATCATTCTGCTGTACATTAAGAGATGAGTGTAAAAACTAGAACACAAAAAAAAAACAACACATATTTATTCTTTGCAGTACCATCGTTCCAATACGAATCAAAAAAATGATAAACTTTAACGGATATGTTAATGAAAATAATTTAAAATAACTGTTTGACAAATACGCAGATGTTATAATATGAACATAATATTTTATATTATTACCAAATTATTATTCGTTGTTATTAATATTCATTAATTATTATTTAAATTTTTAGTATCGGTTCTTCTGCATCTACAGACCACCTTGGTTTTGAAAGTCAATTACTGGAAGTGGCGATTCGTACAAACGATGTTTCAAAAGTTAAACACTTCTTAATGATACATCGAGATAAATTTCAGGTGTGTATGTTTGTATGGTTAGAATAAAAAAAAAAACTATAATATATGATAAATATTATAATTTTTATTAACTTTTATTAATTTTAGATTAGTTTTTATAAATCACTGAAAAGGGGATTCGAAACCTAAGGAACTTAGTATAGGCAATAATAAGATATTTCATGTTTCATTATAGTGTTAGTGTGTGCCCAGTTAATATCATTAGTGTATAATTATAACTTATGTGTTACGTGGTTATAAGAGGAGACACTTACTACAACGAGCACGCAAACAATTACAATAATAATTTGATATGTCGTGGTGTTTAATGACATAATATTATTGCAATGCAAATTTGATAACATTTAATTCCATTGTAACATCATACGATTTTGATACTCAAAACGGATTTAACGTCAACAGATATTTGATTATGACATAGATGAACTAATTTTTCAATTCATTTATTCGAATCCTCGTAACATTCACAGTTGAATAAACATACATTTTTACAAACATTTCATATTTTTAAGGTCGAATGTTGAAAGGCTTATGTCTCTAAAATTTGAAAGAGTTGTTTGTTGTGCTTAAAGACGACAATTCAAACAATCCAATTTTTTTCTTCTAAAATCCATTTGTGTAATTAGATTCATCGGTGCGTTGGAATGAAAATATGTATTTTTGGCATGAAAAACTGATTGTTTCGAGTTCTCTTAAATATTTACCTAGGCGTACGCTATAAGACAATAAAAAAATTGTTTACATGACATGCACTTATTCGTAATAGATGAAATAAAAGCTTATAGTGAAAATGCTCAAATAAAAATGTATAAACTAACATTGAATGAATAAAAAAAAAAATAACTTTAAGTATTAAATCAGTTAACAATTTCCTAATTTAATTTTATGGTTGGCAAAAATTATTTTGGAAACAATAGATATTTATATGACGTGTAGGTTGTACCTACCTGATTTTCTAATTTAAGTTGTATATAAATCAATACTTATGCAAACTCGAGTAATGAAAGTAAATTTAATTTGTATAATTTCTTTTTAAGTTGATTAAAAAATCATACAGGTTAACCTACATAATATGTAGTTATTAGTGTTGTACCTGCTATGAGTCAATAACATATTGTTTTATAATATCGTTTATTTTTTTTAAAATATTTATTCTGTACATTTTGTATTTTCCAGATCAATAATTATTTAAAACCGCCAGAAAATAATTTCAATTATAGTTTACAAAACCAGGGCATATATTCACAGCCGATCAAAATTCCAATAGTCAGGTAAATTAGTGTGTTTATGTATAATATTTTGTATTATTTATGATGAATTCAATGGTGTTTACTCAACAAGTGTATGCATATAAAAAAAATAGCTTGATGTTGATACATAATCATTTATAACATAAAATATAAATATAAAGATTTTACTTTTAATTAAATATATTTAGTAATCTATAGTCATTCTGAACAGATTTTTTTTTTAATCGAATGCAACTACGCATTAGATACATTTTCATTTTTCAATGTTTATAATTTGTGTGCAACATGTTCCATAATTAGTCGTTCCATCATTAAAACTAAAAAATATATATTTTCGTAGTTTTTAGAAGAAAATAATTGCATTGACAAAGTACAATATGAAGAATGAAAGTACATTTTTTCACATAATTAATTACTCATTATTATACAACGTTTTCCATTAGCATAACCCAACATTTTTATTTGAAATAAAATTAGTTGAAAACATAGTTTTTATAATGTTTTATAAATATAATATTATTATTATTTTAATGCTTTTATAAACGTTGTATGCTTAATTCGATATTTATTGTAGTTTCTGAGTTTAAGGAGGATACTTTTATACTTTTTGTTTTACCTACTGTGACATATTGTTTGTTCTGGAAAGCAATTTTTTGTGCTAGTAAAAATACTTTATTATTCATCATTATAAAAAAATATGTTATTTTTTTCCTGTTTGTAGAAAATGACAATGTATAATATAATGTTCAGCATACATATTATAGTGATATGTCAGCAAGGATACATAGGTTTTTTCAGTCCCCGAGTAAAATAAACTATTTTTAAAACCATTGTAAGTCTATTTTGTTATAATTATTTCACTAAGGTTCCGAATATTAAGTATTATTTTTTTTTTGATGTCTGTATTACCAGCCAAAACTACTTTTATTGTAGATGCTGATAATTTGAATACCTACTGTTAAATACACTATACAATTATTTATCCAAAGTGAATTAAAATCTATTAATTTGTTTTTAAAATTTTGTATTTACTACTGTTTATTGTAGTAAGTATATTTAATGAGATAGGTAAGCCAACATTTTTTGTTTTTTCTTTGTAAATGTATGAATATTTTAAATCCAATTAGTTTGGTTAGTAGATACTTAAATTGATTAAAGTTTTAAGTTTCATTTCTTAATTGGGTGGATGTTGTGAATGTGTGCACATATAAGTAGGTACCTACACAAACTGTATTAACTATTGTTTGGTACTTTTTAACCTCTGACTGTATAATATTATGTACTTACTTCAATGTTAAGATAAGTGTTTTTAAAACGGTTTTAGTCTTAAGATTTTTATAAAATTAATTTAGCTGGTATAAAAAATGTTACTATGTAATTATTTTTTATGGTTCTATGCTAATTTTTATTATATACCTATATATGTATATATAAATATAACACCATAAAACTTATATTGCCTAATATATAAATTATGTAAGTCAATGACCCTTGAATTATTCAAAAAAACCAAATAAAAATCCTAAGCTCTGTAAGTTCATGCTAGGTATCTATAGAGATTATATTATTATAAAAATAATTGAATTGCAAATTCCATAATTTTATAGCCAATAAACATATATTTCAAAGTTTTAAGTTATGAAATTGTCAATGTTTTCTTAAATCATGGTTTCAAATATGTATATCAGTTGTCACAATAATTATTTATTTTTAATTATTTACTAAAAAGTAATTGGGTACAATGATAACTAGGAAAACATTATAAAAAAAAAAAAAAAAATTAAATAGATATTTTGAATGTTATTCAGTACTTACTAATATACAATTTTTGAAGTTTTCTAAAAGTTAAAAACTTCCTAAATAAGATTCAAATTAGTTATCTACTCTTTGTTGCATATTAAATGTGTATACTTTTTAATTGTTTTTAATAAATAAAGTATTTATTTAAGATACAAAAGGTTCTTTCAACTACGAATTTATATTCAGATAATTCATTGCCGTCCAATAGAAGGTATTGGTTTTACAGTGCAGTGATATGCTTTTTTTCACGGTACTCAAAATACTTCAAAAGTTTCATATTTGTATCGAGGGAATCATACTATGTAGATTTTACTTTAGATACATACCAATTGGAGTTAATAAAATAAAACAAAATCAAAGCTACACCTTGAAAAACCGTTATTTGGACAAAATCATGATTGAACCACATTCATTGCCGCTATAGTTTTTGCAAAAACATTCTTCATGATAGTATGAAAACCAAAAAATCCAATAATCAGGAATAAACTAAAATTATAATACTCAAGTCATACAAAAAACATATAAAGCATTATCATATGTTGTAGTTTGGTAGTTTATAACAATTGATAATATATCGTAATAGGTATTATGCATAATATAGTCGGTATTTTGCACGTGTGCAATGTACACATTACACTCAACACACATAATATAATTAATCAAATTAAGCAATGTGTGTGTGGATGTATTTTATAGCAGGGGCTGAAAACGTAAACGGAAAAAGACCGATTTTGAACCGAAACCTTATGAGAATATATTGGGACCAAAACCACACCGGAACCCTAAATAAATTTTTTTTTTAGGAACCTAAACCCAAACCTATATTTCGATGTAAAGGTTTTTTGGTTTAAAATTTCAACAGATATTTTATCCATTTATAATCAATAGTAGTTATAACTTATTAGACACAAATCACTAATGATTGTAAACCCGTAGATCTGTAAAAATGTATCATCAATATTATAATATTATTATTTTCGTAGTATTACGTATACAGACTCGGCAAAATCTAAAAAATATATAAATTCCAATTTCCGTGTAATCGATAATAAGCCCGAACAGAAGGTACATAATGTTGTATCAACATTTTAGATTGCGCTATTGCAGATCCTAGTACCTATATGGGGTTCGGGGATGCCAATAACATTAAATGTTATAATTTAATGATAATATCGTTATTATTTCCGGAAATAATTCGTTTACAATATTTAGTTATTTAATATTCTCTATTACTGAAAGTCAATGTTCCGGAGTCAAAATTTCCAGAAATGTATCAAATAGTTTTTTCCGTTCCGGCAAGCAACTTGAGTTAATGTCGACAACCTTTATTCAGGGTTAAAATTTACATTGTCACCTTACCTACATATTATGTAACATAAAATCAGGCGATTACTGGGTCCTTTTTCCCTACCAGGAAACTAGATATAATCACTGCCCATTTACTACTTACTAATATAAATGGATCCATATACCTATCGGTGGACGTACGATTGCGCACGTTTTACCTTTTTAGGCATACGAATGGTGCTGGAATAACAAATAATCATGCTTTTGACTGTTCAAAAGCGTACGATTGCGCGTGAAATTGGATGCGACGTTGCCAAATTATTATTTAAATATAAAATAATTATTACTATAAAAACCTAACAAATTTTCGACTAGCCCAGTGATATCTTCTAATTTCAATTTTTTAGGTCAAAAAATTCAAAATAAAAAACAATAATAATTGGTACACGATTGAAAGTCATCAATTTCGATACAAAATCACCTTATATACAAATAATAAAAAATAGTTATAATAATTTATATTTAATTTATTATTTATAAATTTATATTATTTACAGCATCTCCATCTGTTGTTTCCATCTTCCCGCTGTCTGACGTGTCGAAATTTGTGTTTCTTCGCCACTAATAAACCACTCCCCCTTTCTGAAGTTATTATAAAAATTTCATTTAAAACCTATAATCTATGTATTT